TCCCTACACTCAGCACAATGCTGTGCACACAGCAGCCACTCAATAAGTGGTTTCTCACTGACCTAACCAATACCTGTGGTAAACACAAATAACTATAGAAGGACAAAGTAAAATCACTACCTTATTAAGGCCGATTATTCAGGTATGTTAATAATGGTCACTTAAATAGCAAGTGGGAAAAAATGTTAATTTATAAATAACTGAAAATTCCTCAAATCTGAAACTGGAATATAGATATTTAATTTAATGTAAAATTATCACACTTACATTTCAAAGTAACAAGTTAAACATCTATTTACTTTAAGATGACAAACGAGACTACAGCAAGTGATTTTAAAAATGACACTGTCTGTCCATCAGTTTTCTCCCCCATCAGAGAACCAAGTCTGGCCAACACTACCATATGGAAAAGTCTCATCAAGAAATAAAAGCCAAGCTATTTTCGTTTTACTACCAGAGAGTAAGCGGGAAAATTAATTATTTTGTGATTACTCTTTTTACATGGTTATCCCATAGGAAGCTGACCTTTGATCATCTCAATCCAAGGGAAGATAGGCAAGCTGAGTGGGGTCACCAAGAGGACCGGGGGGTCAGTCTGCATCTGTAAAACGCTACTCATAGCACCCAAGAGACACTGTAGCAACTCAGCCTGGTTATGAAAACTCGAACAAAAAAATAAAACATGTAAAGGAAGATGAGAGGTAAGTAAATAGTTTAGCTATCCTATGTTGCTTTAAAAAAAAAGTCAGGAAAGTAGGATTTCCATAATTACTTTACTGAACCTTGCTTAACTTTACCCTAAATAACCTCTCTCTTCCTATCTTTTCTATTATCTTTCACCTTCTATCAATTTCACCATCCTTCCCTTCTTCAAATCCAGACATTAACCACGAATTTGAGTTAGCTGATCAGGCTGTTACTTCAGATAAATTTCTAAATCTTTGTAAACAAGTCTCTCCTATCTTGCCTATTTTTTCAGATTGTGCCAAGGGAAAGTCCCTTCCTGCTCACCTACCTGTCAAACTCCTTCTAGAAAGACTTTCCAAATTAAAAACATACAAATCCCATCTACTTCTCAAAGTATGTGATGTTCATGTGTAGCTACTGAGCTAACCAGGCAAAGTGGACCGCAACTAGGGGCTACACAGAACCAAATGGGGGGAGGAAAGATGTGTTAAATTTGTTTTCATCAACAAGTGTACTAACAGTTAGCCTCTATCTCAATGAAAGAGTAAATTCACATCCTCCCGGTTTCACTGAAGTTCAGACTTTAGTAAAACTTTTAAGACTGCCCTAGTTGACTATTAATTAAAGATTGATACCCCTCTTTCAGCCTTCTCCACAAGGTCAATCAAACAAAACCCCCAACAGTCAAAACTGAATTAAACTTTGTCCCCAGGAGTACAGTGTTGACTAAGCTATCATCTTCTCTCTTGGGTTTAATGACTCAGCTTGCAGTTCCATACAATGGAGTGAATGAGCACAGCACTAAGATCTATTCGCCACGAGGGTGGGAACATGCTGGCTGATGTGCTCAGATTTCCCCTATGCTCTCTTGCTTCTTCTTGGCACCTTCAGTCTAACATAACCCACCCAACTCCACTGGCAGATTTAACCCTTCTAAATGAGACCACTAAAATGAACGTATATCCAGCAAATAATAGGTAAATTCGACCACAAAGGTTCTTCTATCTGCTGAGCCTACTACAACTACCAGACAGGGAAGTCAAAACGCTAGGCGAGTGCCTTCAGGGTGGTGGTGGGGATGTGCTGAGTGCTTGACTGCACGCTCAGGCTACCCACCTGTGCAGCTGGAGGAACGAACCGTGTGGGAGAGACTGGAAGCAAGGAAGAAGTTTCATTTTCTACTCCTGGATCTATTTTCTAAAATTTATATTAAAAATGGCTTATATATGATTTCTGTCTCTCGAACAAAAAGCAATTTGTAAGATATCTACATTATCACTTTTTTGAGCAAGAAAGCATTTTCCAGTATTGCTCTGGGCCGGGCCGGGCATATGCGGAGGGACTGGGACTGACCTTGGTCTCAAGTCATCTGCCCTCAAGTCAGTTCCCTCTGTGCTCTCGCTACCTCAGAAGGCAGTGGCTTCTATCCAACGTCACAGAACTTTCAGAGTTGAAGGGGATCTAAGAGACGATTTAGGCTAAATTCTCATCTTCAAAAAATGAGGCCATAAAGGACTAAACACCTTGTCTGCCCCGAGTGGCAGAGCTAAGGCTACAAGTCAGAGCGTTAGTCTTGGTTACTTCTGTTGTTCAAAGATGACAACATAGTTTATGCACACAGTTATACTGTTTTCTCAACTGGATGGAGATCCCTTAAGGGTAAACGACATAATTTGCGTTCATTTTGGTTTCTCTTAAGTTTTAAAAAGTCTAACAGTTATCCAATAAATTTTGATGCTGATGAGAAGGAGGAAGCCCTTCTCTCTGCTAAATTATAAAGCCATTTGAACAAGGGAATCTATCTAACAGCTGGTAGTCTAGCTTTGTGACAAACAGCCCTGACCTAAAACTGCTGGACTGCAGACTGTCCTGGTGAATAACAGCTTATACAATTCTCAATGCTCACAATAAAATATAGATTTCTTAAGAAAAAAGAAAAAAGTAATAAATGATGAGCCAGAGTCACAAACCTATGTTATAGTTTATTTTTTACTCAATTTAAATCAGTTCAGTGTTGAGTTTTCTGTTAACAGCAGCTGAGATTAGGTAATAATTTCCTTATTTGTATAGCCTCTTAATATGTCTTACCAAAAGTAACACTGCTTTTAAATATTCATTTTCTAGGTGGAAAAAATACCTATGTATCATATTAGTTTTCATGCTTAACCATTTAGAATACCTTTGTAAAAAAGATAACCAAATGTGTGCTCAGGTAGTAATATACATTCAAAAACAGGGCTAGCTTCAATAACTTTTATTTTTCCTCCTAACTTTTAAAAACATTAATATTTTATTTTGGAATAATTTTCGATTTTTAGAAAAGGTGCAACGGTATAGTACAGAAAAGTCTTATACCTGACTAACTTAATCTACCTTTATTTTTCTATAAAATAAAATGTGATCTCAAAGCAGGTATAAAGATTAGTGAACATAAAAGGTTTTGTGAAAAAGGACATGCTGGATTCAAGATTAATATGGGGGAATGATTACAAGTATTTTTCCTTTCCTCTTCTTGAGTATATATTGAAATGACAGCAAAGAAATAAAGGTCCAAATCCACAGGAATAGAGAGAACCAGAGGAGACCATCAGGGACAAGACCCATTCACTCACTCAGCAGAGTACTCAGTTCTCACCATGAAGGCAATGGCCTCCAGTGGTGAACAGCTGGTCACGGCTTACCCATTTAGGGGATTTCAGACAGGAAGATGGAAGTGTGATGGGTGAGGCTGATGGTGTGACCAAGGAAGTTCTCTCTGAAGAGGGAGTATTTTGACTAAGATATGGATGAAAAGAGACTGGACATATGCAGACTTGATTTAGCAGAGATACAAATAAAAACATTTCTGCAAACAGTTCAGAGAAGGCCCCAGCCCGCAGTATTACTGCTGAGTGGGAAGCAGACTTGCCCCCGCACAGCTCTGGGGGAGATTCTGTGCTTGGAGAATCAGCTACAAAGTCTGTATTTTGAACACTTGATCCCTCCCCACCCGCTACTGCCCTGGGGCTACCAGGTACACAAAGCTTGGGCCAAAAGTTGGAGAGTCTTCCCTTAAAGAATCTGAACGTCCTCAGTGCAAAGACTTGTGCATACTGGCATTTAGGATTCCCCAGTTAATGGTAGTTCTCTGCTGGATCACCCTGAAGTAAAGCCTGCCAATCTATGAGCCCTCTGATCCATGTACACTAAGTTCCCAAGCAGCTTTTTGTAACCTGATTCTCAAATGCAAAGAGACCTCAAGGGTCAATGAACAGTTCAAGAACACCAGCCACATGAAAGGGAGAGAACAAGACATATCAGTAAAAAAAGCGACTACAAAGAAAACACAGATAATTATTCCAGAAATATAGCAAATTACAAACAATTCAAAAGCACCTTTATCACTGTCCTCACAGTGTATTTAAGAAGCATTTTTTTCCATAAAGCAATACAATATGTTGAAAAAAATAATCAAATAAGAAGGGGTTCTTAGAAATAAAAAAGACAAAGGCAGAAAAGCATGAGAAGAAAAGTGGTATAAAGGATCAATCCAAGAAATCCAACATCTGCCTATACTCAGTTTAGGAAAGAGAAATAAAAACACAGAGGAGCCAATCAAGACTAGCTCACGAGGATTTCCCACAGACATGGGACATAAACTTCGAACTGAATGTGCCTACCAAGTGGCCAGCACACCACTGTGAAATACAAGGGTGAGAAATCCTATTTGTTTTCAGAAAGGACAAAACCCCAGGTAATTCACCACTGAATGAGAACAAGATCAATGTGAGACTTTCCATTAGTAACACTGATGCTAGAAGACAATGGATGAGCATCACCAAATTCTGAGGGAAAATCAGAATTAAACCTATAATTTTAATCCCTACCAAACTGGAAAGTATCATGAAGGCATTTTTTTCAGAAATACAAGAACTAGAAAATTTACCTCTAAGATAGGTTACTTAAGAATATGCTGTAGCGAAGTAAGGGATGAAATAATGAAATCCAGAAAGAAATAGATCCCACCCAGAGGAATAAAAAAAAGGAAAAACTGGGATGAAAACCAATCCAGAATAGAGCGAAATATAGAAGACTTGTGGGTGGAGTTATCCAAAAAAAATAAAAATGGGTTTAACACCATCCTGGAGAACACAGAACAAGTTAAGTAAGCAATAAAGGAACACAAAAAAGGAAAAAAGAAAGGCAAAACACATAAGAAAAAACTACATGATGATAACATTCTACCAAATAAAATGAAGCAGAATAAAGATGTCATTAATGGAAAAGTTGTGATAAAAGGATTGTCGTAGTTGAACATCAAATCCATCACAATATGTAGCCTAAGTATAAACAACAGTGGGCATTATGGTTTGCAAACAGAAAATAAATGCTGTAAACATCAACAAAGTGGTAATAATAATAATGATGACAATGGTATTATAAAGTGAGAGGTTGGTGGGGGACGAAGTAGAAGAGCACTCATTTCCTAATTCTTCAAAATAGGGAGATAATCAATACTATCAAAAATTGAAAAGTGAATTAAGATGTTCTGAACGCCTACTTATTTTCATAACCGTTTTTCCTTAATTTTAAGGGGATCTTTCAGAAGCTAGTATTTCTTTTGGTGAAAGAAACATTTGTTTGAAGTTCAACGATTAAGAAATTTTATTGTATTTATTTCTCTTTTCAAGTAAAATTAAAATACTTTTTACTTAGAATTCACAGTATAGTCCCATATATTTGAAAACTTTTTTAGCATCTATTTATCTATCAGAAAGGGATGTCTGGAATGGTACACCCCTAATGCTAATGACGGTATTTCTAGAGAGTAGAATTTTATGTTAGTTTTTGCTCTTACTTTTATAATTTTATATATTACTTGATTTAAAAATATACAGAAATATGTATACTTTACAACAACAAAGCCACTTTTAAAATGTCATGGAATTTTAATTAGTTCTACTCACCAATAGCTTTGGTATAATGTCTTGCTCCAAGAAGTAATTCTGGGGCTCGGTACCAGAATGTTACGACTACTGGATCCAAATCTGCTAAAGGCTTCAAAGGTGAATTAAATAATCGGGCAAAGCCCATATCAGCTGTAAAGAAATAACAGCAATGTTAAGGACACAGATTTTTACAAATTTCATTGATTACTCTAATTTTACTATTATTATTTAATAAGGTATGAAAAATGTGAATTCCGGGGGGAGAAAACCAACAAAACCAACACAACATCTCACCCCTTTCAGAAGTCTAAATATAAAACAAGTTTGAGATCTTCATTCATTGCCAACTATTGTCACTCACTCTTCCACTGGGTTACACACACACTCTGCTGCCAGAGGTCAAGGGTGACCCTACCCCTCCGGGCAGATTTCTTTCCATCTGTCTTACCACCATTGGGACAGGGCTGTGAAGCTGCATTCCCATTCTTTTTATTGGTCACAAGCACCAAGAAACTAGATCAGTTAGGGTGAGTCTTTCCATTATTTGCACCAATAAGCATGTTCACTGGTATAATCAGAAGCTGACTGTACAGTATAATAATACCACTATTTCCCCCCATTTATTTGGGTGGAGTTTTTTCTTTAAAGAATCATGTTTGTTTTTTAAGCTGGAAAAGACTTTAAAGATCATATAATTCAATCACCTCCTTTTTCAAATGAGGAAACTGAGGTTAGAAGAAATTAAGTGATTTGACAAATGTCATAAACTCGTATCTCAGAGCTGGAGCTGTAATGAGATACAGTTCACGGCATTTCACACGGTTTAATATGTAGTGTGGTAATTCGGGCATGGACATTTTTCCTAATAAACTGCACCCTTCTTACAGGCAAAAACTGTGTCTTTTTCATCTCTCTCCCCCTTTTAGCATCAAGTACAGTGTCATTACACATTGCTTTTGCCAAACACACGCTGAATGAACAATCACTATTCATACCACCTATTCGAAAATTTCAAGATTCATCCACCATTTGTTTAATTTTGCTCTCCTAATATACATTTTTAATGAAGTAGGCCCCAATCTAATCTACTTAATTACAGAGGTTAAAAAAAAAACCCACAGAAATTTGGCAAAGAATTAAAACCATGAGTCGGATTACTAAATACTGGTTTACAGAAGAACTAATATTTCTTCTTAAATGTGAATACTTTAAGCCGTTAGTGGCCCCCAAACCTGACAACATCATACATGTTACACAGAAGTATAATTCCAAACTAGATTATTTTTAACATATAAAATTCCCCTAAATCTTACAGTAAAGAACACATCTGTAAATACTGTTTGGCTGGGTCTTTTAGATTTTGCATGCTTTGAACTTACATTTGACTTTGAAACCACCAAGGTGGATTGGATGAAATCCTTTAAAAGCACACGTACGGACTTAACAGGCATTTGATACTATGGTAAGCACTGACAGGGCCTGGTTCTCAAAGCAAGTCAATGACTAGGAGCATTTCGAGGTGCGTCAAATGTTCGCACTACTAAAACACTTGCAAAATTTATATCAAGAGTATTTCGAGAGTCTACTTAGAAGTAGAAAATGAGATTTGGGGAATTTATAGGGGAGGGGAGGGGAGGGAAGAAGGGTTAAGAATACCTGGGTTTTTCTTTGTTGGTGGAGTGGTACAAATCAGCTGATAATTCTAATTCATATTAAATCTTACAATCAGAAATTCCTATTTACTTTGTTATATACTCCCATAAGCCTGCTTGCTGCTTTTAAATTAATATAATTTAGCTACTACATTTCTTCTATCCACACACAAAACAAACTAAATAAATGTGACAAACACAACTCGGAAGTGACAAGGAAAAAATAACCAGTTAGGAAAAATAAATCTAGTTCTATCCTTATAGGTTATCAGACCAGGAATGGGTAAAATTTTGCATTGATATATAAGAAAACAGAGCTATTAGAAAACATGCCGAGGTAGAGAACGCTTGTTAATTTTTTCCCTTCAGGCAAAGGCTCATTAGAACCTACTCAGCCTCAGTGGTATCCTTAGTTTGTAATTCCTAATCTAGATGAGGCTAACAGAGGCATATGTTCTGATCTAATGTGGCTCAGGTAAACAGAACCGATGGTGTAATTACCAGTACACTGTATGCCCTTGTGACTAAAGGTGAGGCTGGCTTCTAACATGGATAGAAGCCACTCACCTCTACAGGCTATTTTTAATGAAAGCAAAATTTCTAAGAAACTTGCATGGCTTATTTTATAATTAGAACACTTCAGTCTCAAAGATTGTCTGACACCTTTCAAGAGTGTGAAACATTTTTCACTTTTAATGTATACTCTTTAGAAATGGCTTCGATCACATGGAACTATATGAATAAATGCATATTATTACAGCAAAAATTAGAAGTGATACAGCTGCCTGCAAAAGTTTTAAAAGAGTGCTACACTGTGACTTATCAAAGATATAACATACCAATTTTTACTCTTCCTCGCTCAGGACCTTCACCCATAACTAAAATATTAGCAGGTTTCTGTGGAAACAAAATAGTGGTTTTTTTCAGTAGACAGTAGTGGTTTCTTTTAAATAGACAATATGCCAATATAACATAAATCCACCTTTAGAAAAACCACATTTACTCAAAAATTAAAATCAAACACAGGAAGTCACCAAAGAAACTTTATGTGTATATATGCAAAGCAATATGCAACTTCATGAAGGCCAAATATGGCAGTGCTTTTCTCCAGGCAGAGCTAAGGCTTTTCTTGGCCCTGTTATCAGTCTGCTTTCACTACCGCGGAACAGCTGGCAGAAAGTTAAAATGCTGTGCTTCCCTCTAACTCTTTCAGTTACATAAAATGTCCTGCAACTTCAAGGGAAAATGTATCTTCAAATATAATTTAACACTAAGCAGCAAGTTAATTATAGGGAAGGGACCACCTGATACCCTTTTTTGGAAACCGCATAATATGCACCTATGTTTCAAATAAATTATAGAGAAATCAATTTAATAAAGTCTCTTCTAAATGAGTTAGCAGAGTAATAGGAATTTTCCATGACCTGAACATCTTTGAGGTTTTCATTTTTAAATAAAAAAGGAAGCTAACATTTAAAGTGAGATTTTACAAAAGTAATATTTCAAACAGTTCTTAAGTCTCTAAAAATAACAAGATTAACTGCCATCTAAAATCTGTCACAGTGCTATCTACTGTACTAACATTTATAAGGGTTGTCCCTCTTCCAGGAGGAGGAGAGAGGGAAAGGAGGAAGGGGCAGTCCCCAAACGTCTCTCAGGCTTCCACCCTGCCGTCCGCCTGGTCTGACTGCAGTTCTGCCAGTCTGCTGACAAAAGTGAAACCAGATCACGACGCCTTTCAAATACCCATCAAAGCAGTCTTGGAATCAAGTTAAAGATTTTAATGAAGGCTGTTTACAGTGGTAACTAATTCACAGGCTTCCCTGACCATAGTTAATGACAGCCCCTATGCTATTACTGATAAAACGTAACTTACAGTACATTATTCTACCAACTACCAAAGATCAAAATTATTTTTTTATCCTCAGTGAAAAGACACTGCTGAAATGGTAGCACATACATTTCAAAGGCTGAAAATTCCTACAGTTTTTAAGACGAGGAAACTAGGCACCAGAGCGAGTGCATGACTTGCCCCAAGTACAATCACGGAGATGGGGGTGGGGGGCAGTAGCAGCATGTGCCCCATCTCTGAGCAGTGCAGTGCCCCTTCCTAATAGACCCTTCTGAAGGTGATTGATGTAGCAAGCTTTAAATGGGCGTGGATTACCATAACTATAATGTTTTGTTCAAGAAAATGTTTTCAGAATGTCCATCATCACACACACACACGGCTCCTGCCCACTGAGATAGCTGGTGAAGCACCGAGAGGAAGTGCAGCACTAACAACATTCCCTGTGAGCCACGTGGAGCTGCCAACAAAGCTGCTCATCAGGGACACTGCAGAGCTCAGCCTGCTTCAGAGGAAACCAGGTCTCAGAGACTCGTGTGAAATGCCGACAGCGTGGGGGGGGTGCCCTCCAAGAGAAGAGACAGCCCGTCTGCCTGGCTGAGGGAGAGGCCTGCTCTCAGCGACCGTGTGGCTCAGGAGGGGACCTGATATTCGGGCTAGGGCTCTCTTCTCATGGTCCCTCGGGGCAGGACTCCCCAGACATCTCCTGAACCCCACTGATTCTCCTCCCGCCAATTCAGTCTTCTGCACTATTGCCAGGGCTACCTTCCTAACGGACAAAGCCGATCACATCGTCACTCCCTTGTTTAAAATCTTCCACAGTAACAGAGGAAATAATTAGGAAAACAGTGGGACAGAAAATTATATATAGACTGGTGAGTACAACTGGGTTATAAAAAAAAAGTGTTGAGTAAGGACTAGAAGAACAAAAAAGGTTAGAGTGACAGAGGTAGGGATGACCTTTTCAAAATTTCTTTGAATGCTGTTGTCGTGCTTTATTACTAAAGTATTTCACCTTTACGTGGCCCCTCACCGCCTGTGAAGTCTTTATGATGGAATGCCAGGCACCTACAAGCTCTTACCCACTGATCTCTCCTGCCCCGCCTTCCACCACTCTCCTGCCACATGTGTATTTGCAGCATTCTGTGACTAGACCTTACACACCTATGTCAGTGCCAGCCCGTTATTTCTACCCTAAGAACTTTCCTCTGCGTTACTTGGGAAAACCTGATTCTCTAATGATGTAAGTAATACATGAATACACTCTGATTACAAACAATTCAAACTATGAGGCCACATACAGTTAAGAGTTAAAGGCTCTTTTACCACCCATCACTCCTCCACCACATCCCAAATCCCACTCCTTCCTCCAGAGTTACAAGCTGATTAACTGGCTTGCTGTGATGGATTTTTCTAGCACTTAAGTGCTCCTAAAAGATTACTTCCATATCTGGCAAAAGCACAAGCACACATGGGCATCACTTTCCTCCTTCTATTTTAGATGGAGTGGAAAAGCTCTCTCTCTCTCTTTTGCTTTCTTACTCATTCAGCAGCCAGACCCAGATCTGAGAAGCCCTGGGATGGGTGGTACTGGTCAGCCTGCTACTAGGTAAAGGGGGAAAAACTCCCTCTCTTGGTCTTCATTTTATTATAGACTCACTGGACTGGCCAAGTCCCAAGCCTGGGTTTGAGCATTGGTGGGGAAGAGTTTCTCTGTCAAAGTCTTTCCTAGTATTAGGGTTTGGGGCCGAAGCTCCAGCTAATAATTAAAACTTGCGTTGCAAGACAACTCACTGCCTATTGCATGATCTGAAGTAGATCTTGGGGCCGAGAGTCACCACGCACATTTAAATTAATGGATTTAAGTTCAGTTTGGGCATGCTATGTAGTCATAAACAAAAAGAGAATGGTTTTAAGTGCTGTTTTAATAAAACTGTTTATAAACAATGAGTCCCTCCTCATGGTGTCTCCCATGGTGGTATCCATATGCCCCAGGGCGTGATACTGATTTAGTAGACAAATCTCACACTAAATTTCTTTTGTGAATGTGATCTAACGGAAATCTCAAGAGAAACTGGCAAAAAAGCCATAGAGATCATGAATAGTTTTGTCAGTATTTGTTTTGTTGCTTAATCAGTTTTAAGGAAGTCTTCAAAAGACTTGATGGATAATTTTTGTTTTCGTACTTAATGCCACATTGAAACAATATTATATTCTCCAAAAAGCTAATTTCTTTTCTTTCTTTTTTCAGTGGGAGAATTTGGTAGCAGTTTTAAGCTCTAGAGCCAAAGCATCCAAGTAACTGGTGATAATTCATGAAACAATCAGTAATAACCATGACTTTGGTAAATAGTCTGCGATCTTTCATGTGCCATCAGACATAATCACCTTAAAAAAACATACTTTGCTGGTGACATTTTGATGAGGCACATACTCCATTAAACTATTTGTTGCTATAGAGAGCAGAGGTCCAACATGACTTAAAAGTATTATAACATCATGATAACATCTTCGAGAATAGTTATCTTATGCACAGAAATGATTACAGAACACCCTTTACTGCCTGCTGAA